CGTTTGTGAAAGCCGGATTTATACAATAAGCTTGTGATATTAAACTAATATATAAACACGGCTAAACACTGACGTATATTCGTCCGGTGGCGACGGGCCGCGTCCGCGAAATAATACCAGTACCACTCATCCTGATGAAAGCCCCCGATGGGCTCGAAACTAGTCGGTGCCGCCACCGGATTAATATACGTAAGTGTTTAGCCGTGTTAATTTCAGTTTAGTACAATATCTCACGAAAGTTTGAATAATTTAAAAGCTTGTGATATGTGCTTTATACAATCGATGTGAACGAAATTTGAGATTTGTAAAATCAACTCTGTCAACTTTTACTCTCTTACAAGTCTAGGTCACAGTTGAAAAAGCTTATTCATAACACGTGTTCTTTTAAAAACCGGTTCAATGTCTGAATTCGTTGCCCTTAAATGCCTATAAGGGATGAACTCTGAAAAGACGCTCTCCAAAGGTCGGCTACGCACCCCTAAGGTCTTCGCCCTTAGCGACCTCGTAAGGTCCTCGTCCTGCGTTATTTGAAGAGCCCTAAGATCTCTAAGTTTTATATATTCAAATTAATTGATATTGAAATCTGTAGATTACGGTCTCTTAACCTTGGAACTTGGTTAAGTGGATTTTTTTGACGTAATAAGCCACATAGAAGTGAAACAATGGTTATAAAAAATATGCCTTGGTTTTTTAATGATTGAAGATCTTCTTACACTGACACTTATTTTTTATACATTTCGCTTTTATTTATTCTTGTATTTTCTTCTTACTAATATTATAAATGTGAATGGTTAGATGGACGTATGGATGGATGTTTGTTTGAAGGTATCTCCCGAACGGCTTAGCGGATTTTGATGGAATTTGGCACACGTAGAGCATAGTCTGGAAGAACATAGGTTACTCGCTTAAGTTTTTTTTCTATTCCTCGCGGTCGGCGTCGCGTGTCACAGCTAGTTAAATAGTATACCACCTATCTTATAATCCTTGTATTATTTTGTACATATTTTGGAAACTTTGTGTAATTTAGCGTTGAATTTTTGACGTTGAGACGCCGCAAAGAGCAGTTGTTTTGGAATATATGTAAGCGATACATCTAATTTATTTTGTTGTACTCGTTACAAGTAACAATTGGTGTACGTCATACGTCAATGTCCTTTGCCGAAGTAATGTGTATTTGCATATTATCGCCTCGTTGCTTGCAAGTTTTAATGAGGACAATATTGTGGAGTATAGCAACTATTTTGTCATGTTATATTGTTCACTTTCGTGCTATAAAAATGAGGGGTTTCAACTTGGGAATAGTCGCGTTGTGGAATAGTCTGTTCTCGACAGTATTTCAAAACCGCTATGACATAGGATACTTTAAGTGAGCGTCTCAAAGGCCGGCAACGCATCTAGGTTTCCTCTGGTATTCCAGATGTCCAAGGCCGTTGAACACTTCAGTGTTCCGACTGCTGGTTAGCTCTCTTATCTTATAAAAAATACATTTTAATAGTAGACTGGTGTTAATAACACTTTTCTCTGGTATCCTGGAACTTTGAAATGCTGTCATGTCTCGTGACACAAATTGGTTATTAATATATTTTTCACTGTAGTGTAAAGTCGGTCACCTCTCGTCTGTATCTAGTATGGTTTGGGCAAAGATTGTTCGGATTACACGTGTCTTTTCGGCTGATCGAGATTTGGTTTTAATATGCTAACGTATTTCGGTGACGTCATGAGCTGAAAAAGATGCGGCTCACTGTCACTGGGCAATTTATAACCTATATTATAATTTCATTCAATGTGTGTCGATCACGTTTGCAGTTCAGTGACCGTCCTTGCATCGTTTGTGCGTTGCTCCCGAATGATGGAAAACATTGACTTTGTATCGCCCCTCTCCGAAACTTGTTAGGTTATTGAACTGCGATATCGGATACTTGCTTATCGTATATCGATATATGATGAAATATTATAAATGCGAATGTTTAGATGGATGGATGTTTGTGTTAACGGCTGAACGCATCTCAATGAAACTTGGCATACATATGGAACATAGTCTGGAAGGACACATAGACTAGTTATCAAGCAAACGGAGTCGGGGCGACAGCCTTAATTTTAAAAATGTAGAATGTTCGTATGGTTACGGAGTAAAAAGATCAGAAGAATCTAGTGTGTGGTTTCCTTCAAATTAAGTATCGGATCATCCGTTGTTTCAATCATTCTTCTAAACTCTATAATTCTGATCGTGGGTTTCTGAAGCTACGTTTAAAACATATTGTTATACCTGTTTTGTCAAAGATATAGACAGGGCTCAGTAACCAACGGTGATTGGTTAATAAATTTTATTGTACATTGGTTAAAATACATTAGTGGCATGTCCTGTGTATATCCTTTATATGTTTGAATTTACCTGATTAAGGTCTATAGCAAGACTGGAATTCAACCAATCTCTTGGTTGTTAAATATACAACAGATGTTCAAAAATAAAGAAAGTAATGCATATCATCTCACGTAATGTTATTGTGGAACTTTGTTAAATAAATATTTTGACCCCTGAGAGATCGATTACACTATGTTACCTACATATGTTAAACCTTTCGAAAGGTCACGGTTTAAAAAACTTGTATAATGTTTATAATTAACTCGAGATTCCGGCTCGTCAGCGTCATCTTGCGTCCTTTGGATGCAGTTGGTACACTCGTGTACATAAATGATTTTGTAAAAGTTGTTATTTATTGTATTTTGTTCTGGAAGCACTTTTGTCAAAAATATTATGGAACTGCGCATACTCTTTGTCAAACACAGGCAACTAAATGTTAGGTTCGTAGGAAATACGATCATATGATATCTTTTACTATTAGAATATATGTCTTATAGATGACAATCGGCAACCCGCGACTCCATCCACTCGGTATTAAAAAAACTTAATGAGTAGCCTATATGTTCTTACAGATTATGTTCTACATCTATACGCAATTTCATCAATATTAGTTTAGCCGTTCCAGAGATATTTCCAAACATCCATCCATCTAAACATTCGCATTTATAATATTAGTAAGATAATGTCAAGTTGAATCGGTTTTTAGTTCAGATTACTTACATATTTCCATTGCGTCTATGAAGTGCGTGGCATAATCGCAAGGCATATGTGAGAAGAGATAATATTGTTGTTATTTCTTTGTTCAATTATCAGGAACTTTTGTATGCGACTGTACATTGTGACTTCCAAAAGTGATTACACCTGACCTCGTCTTGAGATTCACGTAAGGTCGACTGCAGTGTACTTGTTGCGTATTTTTGGAAATTTACAAGAAAGCGAGGTGGACGACCCGTCTAGGTCGGGATACTTTGATTTTGTTTACTCTGGATCGATGAGGAAGGAGGTCCTTACCCTACTGGATGGAACCATTCAGCTGCCCCTTGCTTGTTTGCTACCTTATATTATAAAAAACTGAACTGGAGTAGGAATTAGAATTGTATAGGCGTAAGACTTCTAATATAACATTGAGTTATTGCATTTTTTATATTAAATTCGCCGAAATGGCGAAGCGACCGCTGTCCATAGACATCTACTGTAACAGATGCCTTGCCTACTTTTGATAGACGGACGGAACAACGCCCAGAAAGGGTATTTCATCTTCCTATGCGTCCACTCCTCGTCAAATCCATTTCTCCTTTCCATCGTTTCCTTTTAAAATATTGTGGAGTTTTTTGGTATTTGTTTTAGAAATTATATGATGGATATAATAAAAAAATACATTAATTTTGCGGCAATGATCAGTTTAAATTCATAGGATTTCTATTTGGTTTTCTAACCGGTGTTAGTTGCTTTCTAGTTTTTTTCGCTACAATCCTAATAATGAGGAATAACCAAACCGCTACAATGCAGTCGTTAGCACGACACAGACAAAGCGCACTTTTAATTATAGCTTTTTGCGCAAATGCCACGCTCACTGTTGTTAGGAAATGAAAATACGTATACGAATATAGTCCTTATTTACAATTCATCGTGCGTGCTGATCTACGATTTATTTTTCAATGTTGTATTGTGTAAGTAGAAATTAAAAATTAAAAACAACTGAATGACACACTAGAGAAGATTACTTACTTTAAAACTGTCATTCTCTTAGACTATGTCAAAAATAGATGAATGTATAAAAAGCTCGACAAATATATGTTTTGATTGAGAAAATATACATATGACAAAATCTCTATGTTATAAAATACAGATGACTCTTAACTCTATCTTCCTCTGTCTACACAAGTTAAGTGAAGCTACTATAGATAATAAGACCAAATCTTGTAAAGGTCAATTAAAGGACAATACCATGCCTCATTACTAAAAATACCTGTTCAAACATTATTGTTTTCTCTTTATAAACTCAATAGCGGATGCCCGAGATTTCCAAGCAAATTTAAAAAAAAAAAGTTATATGCGAGGCTATGTGTTCTTCCAAACTATGATGTATAAGATCCGTGTAGCCGTTTTGAAGATATCTTCGAACAAACATCCATCCATTCATCTAAACCTTCGCATTTATAATATTAGTAAGATGGTAAGTCAATGTCAACACAACATTCCGTGAGTACAAGCTTGATCTCATCCGGACAGCTGGCGCGACTCGTAACTGGATATATCCGGTATTTACCCGTCTCGATCACAGGGCTCGATGTACAGGATGATTTACTATATAGTAGGAATACTAATTTTAAATCGATATTCAAACTTTATCAACGATATACAGCAGGCCAATTTATATGTTTATAGGAAAGGTAATTGTTTAAGAATAAGGCACTTTATACTTAAAACTAAAGTTAAATAAATTTCTATGCTCTTGAGAAATTTTAAAAAGATATGTTTTTTTGTTGTAAAATCAGAATTTTATATAACGTCATTGAAAAGAAAGCATGAAGGAACGGGCTTAGGAAGATATTTTTGTTGTCAAACAATGTTAACTTGGTAAATAATTCTAAAACTTAGTTACGGGTACTAACTTTAATCTTCTCTCTTGTTCTAGCTTACGGGAAAGTGTTCCTAGTTAGAAAGAGATGTGGCGTGGACGAGGGCAAACTGTACGCGATGAAAGTATTGAAGAAAGCTTCAATTGTACAGAAACTGAAGACCGCGGAACACACGAGGACCGAAAGACAGGTTGGTATTATGTCACAGAACATTTGTGAATTTCGTCACTTTAAAAACAGACTATAAGTAACTTAGTAGAAAGAAAACAAAGTCATAGTCAGCTTATGTTTTCCTTCAGTTTGTGTTCTACAGCTGTACCAAATTACATCCAAATCCATACAACCGTTTTGGAGATACCTCGTAACAAACATCCATCCATTTAAACATTCGCATTTACAATATTAATAAGATTATTTCTGCAGGGATTATTGGTCACGTAATTACGTCCTTAGTGACCGTTAAATGCCTCTGTTTGATAAATATTTTGCATATTTAAAAACTAAATTCTCGAGTATTCATTCCCTATATCCTGTAATTGTATTAACATAAGGGTTAAATACTGTAAGGTAACCCGACAACTATCAACGCTTATAAGATTAGATGTACGAACAAAACAGGCTTCAATCAACTTATTTAACTATACGTTGTTCTTATGTTGGTAACACTGTTACTGCTAAACTATTAAATAATGTCTTACATTGTATTAAGTAGGTAGTGCAAGTGGAAATGCACCTTTAAGTGTGCTTAGATGCTATGAGCAACCTATAATTTCTTCCTTGAAAATAATTATTATCAGCTATACGTCCCCTCTGAGGGACCCCGACCATAGGCCATAGTCAACGACGCTGACCCAGCGCGGATTGAATTACGCATATCTTTGAATTAAGTCGTAGATATATGTAGCATCACGATGTTTTACTTCACCGTAAGAATGTATACGTAACCAGATATATGTATACGTAAATCAAAAAACACATTAGTATATAGTAGGATTCGAATCAAGGACCTGCAGATTTCAAGTCATGGGCTTAACCCCTGAGTCACTGACGCTCCAATGTATGCTAATTTTTTTTCTCTGATTATTGTTGTATTTTTAAGAGCTGTTTCTTTTTTAATTTGAATGTAACTAGAATTTTATTCTGACAGGTTTTGGAAGCTGTGAGAGCGTGTCCTTTCCTTGTCACCCTACACTACGCCTTTCAAACAGACGCCAAGCTACATTTAATATTAGGTAAGTGCAATACAGACGTATTTTATCCTTTGACTATGACATTGAGTGTTGCATTAGCTTAGTAATTGGGGATATAGTTTTGTCCCTTTCTTTCTTGTTGATAAAACAGAGATAATGATATCGCTAATTTAATATAAGGGTTTTTGTGGCTACACTAATCTGCCGCCGAAACTTATACTCGATCTTTAATTACTTGTATGTAGGAAGTTTCAAAATTTATCCTTCATCTACTAAACATTTTATCTAAGTCTTTCGATTACTATTTTTATCCTAAGATTGCTTTAAGCAAAAATTGAATTTAACAAAAAATGATGTTTGTTATAATACTTTGTTGTCGTAAGTTGTATTTGGAAGTACAGTCCAAGCTAGATAGGCAAGAGTCGAGGGGACTGCGATATTTTTCTCGTAGCGTAACCAAATCCGAGGTTCTTGCTTATGGAAGTTGCTCTTTGGTACTGGACAATGATTCACTTATAGAGAATTCTTGCTTATCCAGGTTCGACTATGTCTTTTGTTGTTTGCAATTCCGTCTCTTGATATATCTTGTTCATCGCCTGGTAATAACTAGATGATACTGACAATTCAAAATGACTTATTAATAAAATACTAGCTGTCGCCCGCAATTCCGTCCGCGTGGACTTGGGAAAAACTTAATAAGTAGCCTACATGTTCTTCTATATGTATGCCAAATTTCATCGAGATCCGTTCAGCCGTTCTGCAGATATCTTCAAACATCAATGTAAATATTCGCATTTATAATATTAGTAAGATGTACAATTTTTTTATTGCGATTTAATTTTTATACCAGTTTTTCGACAATAAGAACTCTTTACTTAACAATGTCGAGACTCTGTTCTTTATATTATAAATAGATGACTATTAAATATATTTCAAGGTCCCTATACCCTAGGGGTGGTGGCTCGGTTTCAAGGTGACTTATTATGAAGGACAAACGTTATCCTTTTATAAAGTACGGGCTTATTTAATGTCCAATATTACTTAATATAACGCCAATAGCCTAATAGTTAAGAGTACGGATTTCTGATCAGGTGGTCGAGAGTTAGTTTTTACTTATGAATACTTTGGCCAGTGAATATATAATATGTTTTTTAACGATTGCATTCAACAGTACGACACACACTTTTGTTACTATGAAATTAATATCTGCATGTAATATTCTATATGTTCATTTTATTTGTTTTTTCTACGACTGTCAGGACAATCGGATAAGATGCTTCACTTATTAAAAGTAGAAATTGCTTTCTTTAAGAAAGACTAAATAAATTATACTGTAGAGTCGAACCTGGATAAGGGAGTCCAAGGTTGTTTATAAATGAACGTGTTAAGTATCACTATGAAAGTTATGTAACCAGTGGTACTAAAAGTGAAAAGATTTTCGGTGTTCTTATTGTCTTGTCTGTCAAACAATCGATCTAGACGATGGCTAAGCATGATTGATGTGGTTCTATAACCGATACTACGAACAAGCGGGTCAAGGGGAGTCTAGACTTACGCAAATTGACCCCCTTTGTGGACAACACACCTTATTGTGAAGGTTTTAAGGTGGCAATTACTTTGTAGTTTGTTATAATTGTAGACCAACTACTGTCTATTGTGTATTTCTTTGTACATTTTGATCTGTTTTGATGGTTGCGACAATTTGTTGTTAAGTTTTGAACAGACAGAATTTGTTGAGCGAGTGGACTGCGATCCATAGATCGCTGGTTCAATCCGGCTCGAAGGACCATATGTTGAGCGAGTGGACTGTATGTTGTAATGAAAGGCTGGTTGGTTGCTGATGATTGTAATAAGAATGAAAGATATACTAAATAGACAAATATGATTGATGTGTCGGCGCGCGGAGTGCTGTAGCGCAACTGAAGGTCGCGGTGCGAGGGAGCGCGGCGGGTGAGGTCTGAAAGGGACCCCCGCGCTGCTTCCACGCCGGTGGTGCCGTAGTACGGAACAGAATTATTAATTAATATTAACCATAGTATTGTTTTGTTAGTTAAGGGATAATAATGTAGATTATTTAACGTGAGACATCTTAAACGTATATAAAAACAGCTTAAACACGTATGTTCGTTTGGGGGTGGCACCGACTAGTTTTGAATCCAACGGGGCTATACCATTCTTACTCACACTGATGAAGTCTTAGAATGGGTACTAAGTTATAATAACCTTATTATCTTAGGCTGTTACAATGAACACAAATAAGTAAATTCTTCTATTCATGAAAAAATAAAATGATGGATATATCGAACAATATCGAATGATTACTGTGTATATGAATTTGCTATATCTTATATCTTTAAATATGCAATTGTTGTATATATATAATTGGAATCTCGGAATCGGCTTCAACGATTTTCATAAAATTTTGTATACAGTCGGTTTCGGGGGCGATAAATCGATCTAGGTAGGAATAATTTTTAGAAAATGTCATTTTATTCGTGTTTTGTCGATAATCAACTTAAACATAAACTTAACTTTTTCTATCGCTAAGATCGAAAAATATTATTCATATTTCATCATTTTATTAGTAATTCATACTTAAATATAATTTCCAAAAAACACAATTTAAAAAACAAATTCCGGGCAAAGCTCGGTTATCCATATTTCATAGCTTTTAAAATTGCACATAGAGCTCTTTTGAGAGTAAATATTCTTTATTGCATATTTTATGAGTAGCTGTCACCCGCAATTCCGTCCGCGCTGATTAAATAAAAACTAAATTAGTAGGCTATGTGTTCTTCCAGACTATTTTCTACATCTATGCCAAATTTCAGAGATATCCATGCAGTCGTTCTGAATATATCATGCAACAAATATACATCCAAGAAG